ACATAGCTAGGATCATGCATTGATTACTAACTAGCTTCTTTTTTGGCTCAGAGTACTAGGTAAACTTTTATGCTTTAGCATCCTTGCATGCATATAAGTGTTGCCATGTTTAGCATGCTTGCCATGAGGCTAATTGCTTATTTGCTATAACTACCTGAATGCCTGTGGGTGAAGGTTGGATTGCTTGAATTGGAACAATTCATCGAAATGCGAGTTTTAAGCCCACTTGAGAGTGGCAAAGTCATGTTTTCTAAGCCCACTTGAGGGCGGAAAATCCACGTCTTAGCCTACTTACAAGTAGCACCTTCAAACCATTTTCAAACAAACATAAGATGTTTTGTTCCAATTTAGGCGATCTAGTCTATACTTGTATGTTGTGCGCATCATGTAGAAAGCTAGCTAATAAACCAGAATAAGAACACATGTGTTTTCAAAAACAAAATATCATGTTTAGTAAAGGCCGATCTTTTTGATCGGGCGAACGGGGGTGCTTATTGCATGACCTTCCCCTCTAGTACCCAAGTTCCCGAGCCGAGGCAACTTTGGTGATGACAGACACGTGGCCTTCGGCACGAGTCAAGGTTTCCTAAATTTTTCCAAAACAAAATATTTAGGAGGCAACTCTGCATCTGGCAAAACAGTCCATGTTTGGCACTTCTTTATAAAAATCAATTTTCCAAAACAATTTGCCAAATTTGGTCTCTTTGTTGATTTATCGGTCTCACATTGCACTTTGTGAGATTAGATTCAGAACCGTGACATGAGTCCGAACTGTAGTAGCCTAAGAACAAAACAGATTTCGCGCCACTCGCGCACGGAGCCGGTACGTTCGGGCACGTCTACAGACTCCTGTCACGGTTCTGAATCTAATCTCAGAAAGTGCAATGTAAGACTGATAAACACCAAAGAGTCCAATTCGGCAAATCGTTTTGGAAAATCAGATTTTAGATCAAATAATGCGAAACTGGACTGCTTTGCCAGATTACATAGTCACCACATAAATATTTTGTTTTGGGAAAATTTAGGAAACCCTGACTCGTGCCAAAGGCCACGTGTCCGTCATCACCAAAGTTGCCTCAGCTCGGGAACTTGGGTACGAGAGGGAAAGGTCCTGAAATGAGCAATCCCGCTCGCCCGATCAAAGATCGGCCACTACTAAGCATGATATGTTGTTTTATAAACGCATATGTTCTTATTCCGATTATTAGCTAATATTACTATGTGATGCGCACAATACACAAGTATAGACTAAGATCGCAAGAATTGGAACAAAACAACTTGGGTTTGTTTTTCGAAAATGATTTGAAAATGCCACCCTCAAGTGGGCTAAAGCGCGGATTTGCCACCCTCAAGTGGGCTTAAAACATGATTTGCCACTTCGCAAAGTGGGCTTAAAACTCGCATTTGATGAATTGTCCCAATTCAAGAAACAAAGCCTTCATCCACAGGCATTCATGCAGTTATAGCAATTAAGCAAATAGCCTCATGGCAAACATGCTAAACATGGCAACACTCACACTCATGCAAGGATGCTAAAGCATAAAAACTTACAGTGTACTCCAAGCCAAAACAGAAAACTAGTTAGAAACAATGCATGATCCTAACTATGTTTAAGATGCCTAATGCAACACATGCAATAATGCAATTAAATAGGCACGGCTATCTAAGATGGCATATGAATGCAACAATTTTGATACATGTATTCAAATAAGTGTATTGAAATACAATGCAGTTTGAATGATGAGCCGAGCCCGGTGCATGCAAGACAAATGAATGAATGGAAACATGCAAGCTTAAGGTATGCTAATTGAAATATGCCCCTAAACTAACCAGTGAAAGCGGATAAATAAAAGGGAGAAAGATGTGGGGTTGGAAGACACGCACACACACACGCACACTTATTACAACATTGCGCCCTCACGAAGGAGGGTCCGAATAAATAAGCTAATGAAACGCACCTCATTCCTTAGGTCACTGACAGCTTTGATCATGCATGATAAGGTGGAGGTCCATGGGGTCTTATGTGGTATTTGTGTGCATTCATTGTCATTGATTTGTGCAACTCGGCCTCTTTGGCCATCATGCATTGAGATGCGTGATTGGTGGCTCAAGAGTCGAGCATTACACTCCTTTGAGCTTTAAACATGATAAGGAGTGTGGTCGCACACACATTTTCTTGCAAATACACTGCCATGCCTCTATTAGTGCTCTGTTGTAGCAAAAGAAGAATTTGCAGGAAGCAGTGGCCGATTGACTATCTAATCTGCCGATCGGTTATCAAAATTGGCCGATGACCATTATCTTTGGCCGATGGCCATTCCTCTTGGCCAACCTTCTCTCAGCATGGTCCTGAGGTGGATCAGAAGTACTTTGGAGGTTGGCACTTTTTTCAGAAGTCTAAAACAATGCAAATAGAGGCATCATGAGGCACGGTAGTGGATTTCTGGGAGGACGCGACCTAGCATGCATCATTCATCATTCCGAGACAGAGCTGTGGCAGCCTATTTTAGTTTCTTACTTAGTTGATTTTGTAATTTAATTAATTTGTTTAATTTTTTAAATTTTTGTAATAATTAATTAGCTAAGTTAGTTGATTAGTTGATTTGTAATAATTAGTTTAATTAGCTTAGATTAGCTAGTTTAGCTTATTATTCGGACCCTCCGTCGAGAGGGCACAACTATTGTAATAAGTGTGCGTGTGTGTGATGCATGTCTTCCAACCCCCATTTCTTTCTCCCTTTTGCTTATCTACTTTCGTTGGTCAGTTTTAGGGCATGTTTCAATTAGCATCCTTATGCTCACATGTTTGAATCATTCATCTATCTTGCATGCACCAGGCTCGGCGCATCGTAGTAACTGCATCGTATTTCAATACCAATTTGAATACATGATATCTAGTTGCATTCACATGACATCTTAGAATAGTCGAGCCTATTTTAGTTGCATTTTGCATGTGTTGCATTAGGCATTCTTAACATAGCTAGGATCATGCATTTGATTACTAACTAGCTTCCTTTTTGGCTCGGAGTACACTGTGAGTGTTTACGCCTATCATATTGCATGAGTGTGATTGCATATTGCCATGATAGCATGCTTGCCATGAGGCTAACTGCTTAAGTGCTATAACTGCTTGAATGCCTGTGGGTGGAAGCTTGATTGCCTGAATTGGAACAACTCGATGATTGTGAGTTTTAAGCCCACTTGAAGTGGCAAAATCATGTTTTTCTAAGCCAACTTGAGGGTGGCAAATCCGCGTCTTAGCCTACTTGCGAGTAGCATTTTCAAACCACTTTAAAAAAAAAACAAGCATGAGTTTTTTTGTTTCAATCCGTGTGATTAAGTCTATACTTGTATGCTGTGCACATCACATAGTAAGTTAGCTAAATAATCAGAATAAGAACGAATGTGTTTTTAAAAACATCATATCATGCTTAGTAGAGGCCGATCCTTTAATCGGGCGAGCGGGGATGCTCATTTCATGACCTTCCCCCCTCGTACCCAAGTTCCCGAGCCGAGGCAACTTTGGTGATAACGGAAACGTGGCCTTTGGCACGAGTCAGGGTTTCCTAAATTTTTCAAAAACAAAATATTTAGGTGGCGACTCTGAAATCTGGCAAAGCAGTCCATGTTTGGCGCTTTTTGATTAAAATCAATTTTCCAAAATGATTTTCTGGATTTGGACTCTTTGGTGATTTATCAATCTTGCATTGCACTTTGTGAGATTAGATTCAGAATCCTGACAGGAGTCCGAACTGTAGTAGCTAGAACCACAATTCGCGCCCTCACGTGCAGAGCGGATTTCAGGCGGTCTACATCAACCTAAACACCAAAATCAACTATTTTGGAATAGCATAATCATATATTCAAGCCTCATATTCATTTACTTCATATTCATCAAAAACCCCTCTTTTCATTTCTCATCCAAATCCTAAATTTGTCCAAACCACAACCAAATATCTCATCATCTATACACAATAGCAAACAACTAAGCTAAAAACCATATTAGAGTGTAGAAAATCCCTACCTCAAGTGTAAAAGAAGAAAAGAGTTGAAACCCCCAAAATCAATGACGATGAAACTCGATCTCCGCCGCACACAACGAAACCCTCCAGAAGTTACACAATTTTGACGAAGGAACTATGGCCAAAATCCCAATGGATTTGGAGAAATCAAAGAATAAAGATGGTTTTCTAGAGACAAAGGCTCTAGATTTGTATTTTGGAGACTTTTAGAGAGAGAGAGAGAGAGAGAGAGAGAGGATGCAGAAAAATGACCTGAAATGTCAGTTTCACGATCTGTTATAACATGGTCCGTTCGAGCGTGGAAAGTCCCACTCGAGCGTAAGACACAGACTCCCTCTCGAGTGTGAAACCCTACACTCGAGCGTGAAATACGCTCTCCCAGTATTTTCTGCAGACACAGTCCCCGCTCGAGCGGAAGGACCAAGTTCTGGGCAACAACCATTGGTATCAAAAAACAACCAACCTGTTCCAAACTCGCCCAACAAGTCCCAAAACTCAAATTCAAAGAATTAAAGGGAGGAAACAAGACATAGACAACAATATACAATCACGGAACCCGAGTCCGAAACACAATAAAGGTGGGGTAAAACCGGGATCGCTATATACACTGTGTAAAATTAAAGACATATATTTGATTAGTTCATTGTATTATGTTTATTTGTTTTTAGTGTCTAAAAATGGCGTTTATTAAATTCACAATTTTAACATGAGTTCAACAAGACTCTGTGCAGCTTTTAACTGATTTTCAAGAAATTTCATAATTTCTTGAGTACTCATCACAAATTGATTCTCATAAGCTATCTTTGCGACATGCTAACTATTGAAACAGTAAATAAAGAGAATTAGTTGGATCTATCTATTTATAAGGATATGTATCTATTCTCTGGCATCAAATTTGAACCCTGCATTTGACTTGCTGTCAAATCTATATATAAGGAAAGCAAAAAATAAAGAGAAAAGAAACAAACAAACGAATTTCCCAGATTCCCAAGATATTGGTTGAATATTAACCTCTATAAGAATATTAACATTAAACAAATCACGTCATGTGACTCAAATTTGACATTCTATGTAATATTATGCTACTACTAGAAGCTGCAATGTAGTCATTTTTTATTTTTTATTTTCAATGCTGTTACATTACATTGTAATAGGATGAAATTGAACTAACAAAATGAAAAAGATAGAATTAGAAAAATTCCAAGTTATCTAGAGACCATAGTGTATAATATAAGCTTTACATAGATGTCAATAGCAAAAATAGAATAAAAAACTAGAAATCAATCCTAAAAAGTAATATTTTCCCACTCCATATATTTAAGCCATTTTTTTAACTGAACTTGCATTCTACATCATTAACTAATCAAACCACACAAGATTAAGAAATAGAGAAAATATTACCAAAGCTCACCAAAAAAACATGAATAACATGATTTTATGAAGACATAAGACTTCAAAACTAACCTGCAGATTAAATGCAACCATCTGAGCTTCATGCATCCATCCAGTAAGTGGATTGAAATTTGAGGAGGTGACTCGGGTCCACTTTGGGTATACCCTCAGAATATTCTTCTGTGTGAACCTAAGGGAGACAAGAAAGAAAAGATTAATAAAAAACAGTAGAGATCTAATCACTCACTGGAGTAAAAATATAAATGTTTTAAGATAATTCTTAGAGGTATTAAGCACATAGAACTTCAGTGACTACCTCACAAGGTCAATTCCATAAGATTTTGCTGCCTTTTCAAGTGTTGTTTCACTCAAACTAAGACGTTTAATTTTTCCAATTCCAGCCCTCAAAGCCTCTTTCAATCCATTCTTTGGTTTCCCAGCATGAATTGCAATCGGATGCTTGTATTGACGTGCTCCTAGCTGGCATGATTTCTGCTCACAGTCATCATTGCCTTCATCATCCTGATCGATGTCGTCCTATTAACCATAACAAAATTTTAACATGTTAAAGTAATTGAGAACCTTAGAAATTATAACAGAATGAAGTAAATTTCATTTGTAGATTATAAGCTGATGAAATAAATTTATTTCTAAGCTCATCTTGTCATCAGGATCCAGCTAAGCTGCAAGGTCTGGTGACTCCTTTCCTGATATTCTATTGGTGGTTTGGTTGAAACAATAATTCAATGCTTTAAGGCTTCTGGTGAAGGGAATTCTTCCAAGCACCACCTCTGTGCACCCTATGTTCACCACTTGCTCTGTTTTCCTTATCCTAAAAAAATTGGAATACAATGGTACGAAGTATTTGTTTACTCAAATTTAATAGATGATGGGATCCATATGCAATAATGACAAAAGCTTGAGTAGAAAAGCAAGCAAGCAAAAGTACAAGCATGAGAAATGTGCAAGTTTACCTGCATTCTATGAGAATGTTTCTTGCCATTTGTCCCTTTGCTTGGCTCCTACAAGTTGTAATTAATTTGTTTTAAAACTTTTGTGAAATATCTTTCTATCCAAAATCTTGCTATATATGAAGACAAAACAACATATTACAAAAGTCTAAAATACTATTATATAGTTTAATATACGTACTAGTTGCGAGGCACCGTGCTTTGCACGATAGCCTATGCCCATGGTTCAAATAATCTCGAATTGCTTGATTTGAAATTAATCTCCATTCAAAAATATCCGTAATCTCTTATCATTAATTACAAGTCCACATCATCCAATAGAATTTTTTGAATAATGAATGTTGCAACCTGCTAGGAAAAATTAATGTGTTTTATCAAACTACAGAGGATATAAACTAGGAGTATTGATGTTACAATAACAAGGTACCATGGAACTATAAGGCAGCCTCTACCAGGCCTAGAGTCATCAATATCTACAATTAAAATTCATTTTGTAAGGTATCACCAACGGTAGCAATAATATATAATCCTAAAACCCAACGTAATTCGTAGAGCTCACCATTTTCTTAGAAACAAACCACATCCTATAACAAATGAAACAAATCAAACATTCTTAGAGTTAGAAAACATATTGAACTTCTTAGGAAAAGAAAATGCAAAAGATACTTTACGAAAAATTAAGTTAATTTTTAGCCATAAAAAATGCTAGCTATAAAAAATTAAGTTGTTTTTTGTTATCTGAAAATGTACTTTACAAAAAGAAAGAGGAATTTTGAATCATTAGCCTCATATCAGCTTTAGGCATACCTAGGCTATAGCTAGCAATACATTCAGATAGAAAATAGACATGAATCTGCAACAGATAGTGAGAAAAGAAACAGTGAAATTATTGGTGGTATTCATTGGGGAAAAAAAAAATTAATACAATGGATTCAGGTGCACTTAACTGTTTTTGATAGTTCACTGCCCATCTCCATCGTCCACAGGCATAGTGGAATTATTTCTATTGAGAGAAGGAAGCTAATAACTTCTGTATCATCAACCTAATAGAAAAAAGAAAAAAAACACAAGTTTTGATTTTGATGATATTCAAGTCACCCAACTAAATAAATAAATAAATAAATAAATAAATAAAACTTAATGACTCATGAACAAGAGCTTAGTTATTAGGGACACCAAGAGCTTCCGAAGAATGTAGCTTCCCCTTTCAATGAGAGATGGAGGAGATTATTGCGAGCAAAGTGAAAGAGGCATACTGCACATAAAAATTTCTCCATTACATATTGTGTGTGATTAGGCAGTTGTTTACTGCTTTAAATTGTCACAATTTATGGGTTCAAAATTTGGGAAAAAGGGAGAAGAAAAAGAAAGCAGTTGAAACAAATATCAAAGAGAAATTCAACACCTCTATTTTGGTAAAAAATTCATCATAGGTCTCCTAAAGGTCATAGAAGTAATCTATAATGTTGGCTGCAAATGGCTTCCAATATATGCAGATGCCCATCAAAAATAGAGTCTGCAGTATTTCTTTTCCAAACTTTTTACATAGGTATATTTAAATTAATATGTGCCCGTATAAAAGGAAGAGAATACAGTGTGCGACTCAGACTCTTATTTATTTGTTTTTTTCTGGGATTTTCCTTCTATTATTTTTTGTTTTAAGGACTCCTTGGCCGCCTTTGTTTCCATCTCTTTCTTATTCTTCTTTTTAATAAAAGTTCCATTTTGTTGCTGATCAAAAATAAATATATAAATAAAAGGAAGAGAATAAAAACTAAAACCAACATCTAGATAACATAATGCATTCCTTGAAATTATGAACCAGTTTGAATTTCTAAGGAAATGTATATTAATTAAAATTGTTAGAATAATAATTACCATTGGTTGAAATTGAGAGAATATGCAAATTCATTTTAAACAGCTTATTAACTTCTTCAAAAATATTTCTCTGTCTTTAGGGAACATTCAAGAGATAAGATCATGCCCATAAAACTCATGCTAGCTATGGATTTGTTTTATTATTTATTTTTATAGACATGAATTAGATTTTAATTCTTTATGTATATTATTTTGTTTTTCAATTTTGTAATTTGAAAACAAGTTGCTATCTGCAGAGGGAGTCCTTACTAACATATATAGTTGCCACTCTATTATCTCCACAAATAGAAGTATATGAAAAAAAAAGCAAGATTATTCATAAGATGTAAAAATTAATATCAGCATAATGAAGCACCTTCACCAACGCACCAATGGCACCTAAGCTAGTCAGCCTCAAGTATTCAAATGGCCTTGATTTGCTTGACGTATTAAGAAAAGGGTACAGCTAAAGAGGAATATGAGTTGCAAAGGAGAAACCATCAGTTAGGACAATTTCATCTAATTTCAAGAGACTTCTGAGTAAATATGCATCAACAAAAAGTCATGCGAAGAATAATCTATTTTCCTTATAATAAGGTGGACTCCTTCACTTATACAAATTGCCAACACACCACCAAAGCAGCGAACGACCTCGAACTAGGGCTAAGACTCCCTTCACGCCCCATCGTCAATCTCTTAACTCTAATCGAATGAACCTCCTCAGAGGAAATTACCGATTCCCCTGGATCTAAGCTCAAACCCGATTTCGTTTGCCCTAAAACCAATAGCACTGGTGATTTCGAATCCCTAACAACATCCTTAGCCCTAGACGAAACCCCTTTAGTAGAAGAGATCACAATCATCAAAATCTGAAAACAATCATATACATACATACATACATATATATATATAGAGAGAGAGAGAGAGAGACAGAGAGAGACAGAGAGGCACCCCTAGTTCCCCTTAACTGCCTCAACCCCGACAAACTCACAACCACGCCCCTCCCTACCTCATCTACGCCGACCACCTCCACCGCGAGATCGTTCTTGCCATTCGCAGCCTTAGCCTCATCAAAAGGAGTGATTATAAGCTTATGCTTGATAATCGTTTAGGTATGCAGATGTTTGAGGGAGAAGAAAAGAGATGAAATGAGTGCGTACCGTCGATCGTTACCGCCGCCAAACCAGTCTTTCCGTACCGTCAAAGTGTCCAGAAAGAGAGATTGAAACCCTTCCCTTCCCTTTTGAACCCTTCTATCTTCTCCCTCTCTTCTCCTTTTCCCTCTTTGAATCGTGTTCTTTGTTCTTTCTTTATGATTAGAACCATTAGGTATAGATAGATGTTGGGAGCTGGGGCTTTTGATTTTGATTTTTTATTTTTAAATATTTTGTTTTCGGCTGTTTGGCGCTTCGAAATTTTTATTTTGGCGTTATTTTTTTTTTCGATCATACCTTTCACAACAGTATTTGCGTGTCATGAAAAATATAATATTTTAAACGGCTAGTTTTTTTGTATGTCGTGGAAAGTGAAATTTTTAACGGCTGGCTTTTTATGCGTCGTGAAATGTTCAATATTTTTAACAGTTGGTGTACGCGTGTCGTGTATAGTTGATGTATTAACGGCATACCATATGTACGTCATAGAAAGTTTTATTATTTATGGCTAACATTGCAAGTCGTAAAAAAATCATCGTTATTAGCATTTATGACCTACGCAATAGACATGTCGTGGCTGGGAAATTATTTATGATATGCAAAAAAAGTAAGTCGTAAAAGTGAAAAACCACGGCTTGCATTTATTGTATGTTGTTGATGTGAAACTGTAAAAACCTAATTTTGTTGTATTGAAGAGAGAGAGAGAGAGAGAGAGAGAGAGAGAGAGTTACTTCAGTAGCTAGGTATTCAAGTACAACGACTATGAAAACCAGACCTCTGGTTTCGCCTCACTGAGCATAGCGACCCTTCTTCAAGTACCAGCCAATCCTCCCGACCGGGAACAGAAGGCAAGGAGAAGAGACCTGTATGCTTGTGAAATTCAATCTTGTTGGGAATAGAAAGAGTCGTCCTCTGTCATTCATGGGCAGAACAGAGGCACGAATTTGGGAAATGTATATTTTATATAAAAATCAAATTGGAATATTTTATACAATCACACTTATTTGGGAGTGTGATTAAAAAGTAGTAATGTATATATAATCACACTTTAATTAGAATGTGTGATTAAAAATATATATAAATAATCACACTTTAATTAGAATGTGTGATTAAAAAA